ATGTCTAGACAAGGCTGTGGCTATGCCATCTGGGGGTGTCTAGACAAGGCTGTGGCTATGCCATCTGAGGATGCACTTGGGCCTCCTCTGGAGCTTCTTCCATGGGTCTGAGAAGTTCCTGGGACGCCCAGGTAGGGTCCTGCCATTGTGGAGCAGACAGGAATTGTGATCCCTGCTGGGTCTCCACTGTGAGCACTGGGCTTCATGTTTGCCCTGGCCAGGTTCCTGTAGCCCTGGGCCACTGTTTGCAGCTGGTGACCAGGGCTCCCAGGTGCTGAGGGGACAGGTAGCACAGAGCTTGGGGTGAGGCCTGGAGACAGCCCAGCATTCTGAACAGGGTTCTGTGTGGGGCTCTGCCTGCTCCTCAGGAAGATGAGGGGCGAGCAGGGAAGGGCTGGGAGCTGGTTGAAGGATTTCTTGCACAGCAGGTGAGTTGGACAGGTCATCTCCTGCCATCCAGGGTCACAGCTCTGGGAGGAGGACATGGAGCTGCTGCCAGCTGTTTAGGGAGGAGCTCCAATCAGTTCTGTAGAGCAGGCTCTGTAAACAGATGCTGACGCCTTCAACTGCTGGGTTAGGTCAGGCAGGGGGCAGCTGAGCCTGTTTACTGCTCTTTCTGAGCTTGGGGATCAGCCCTTGCACTGTCTGGAGGAAAGAGGAAGACAGTCAGCCCTTGCTTAGCTGGCGGTCATGTGAGTTTGGCAGTGGGAGCCTGGCTCTCACTGCCCACCATGGAGGGTGTGGCCTAGAGCTCTGGCATCCTGAGTTGACTCATCATGAACTTGGACCGTGATACACCCTTGTGGTTGGTCCATGTGCCACCCTCCTACCCCACCTCTGGGTTAAGCCTTGATGACCTCTCCTTTCCTCCTGCCCCCTCACCTTTTCCAGAAAGCCTGCCCCATGGCCCAGTGTGGTGAGTGTGCTGTTTGCTGAGAAACCATGGGTTGCTCTCAGCATTTGGTAACTCCTACGGCTGAAGAATGTTCTCTGCCCTGGGGATGGCCTCACCTGCAGGACACCTGTCTCCTGTGGGGTGGGGCCCGCACACAGTGGAGGTGTTTCTACCTGAGATTCTATCGTCCAGCTTGCAACAGATGACCTGCCTCCCCCCTCAAAATGTTCCAGAATCTGAGCTCTGCTGTCCCTTTGGCACTGTCCTCAGCCCTGCTGGGGCCCTCCTTGTCCCTCCGGGTGCTGCTGCCTGCAGCCTCACTCACACCTAGACTCCCAGGGCTTCCCGCCCTTGCTCTCTGGACGTCTGGCATGGTGTCTCCCCCAGCCACCGACTGCCCAGACTGTGTCAGCTTAGTGCTCATGCATGGGATGGGGGGCCAGGGCTGCCATCTCCCCTCTCCCCAATGTCCCTTGCCTTCTGTGAACTGGTGCTATGTCCAGGCAACTCCATCCCTCTGAGGTTCTGCTCTTGCTGCCTCTCCCTGCCCACTTGGCAAGCCTCAGCTGCCCACGTGCCCTTTCACACCCATAGTCCACACAGAGCTTCCCAGAGGGTGGGTGGTCCCCCTGCTGACAGCCCTCAGGCTGTCCTCAGGGGTCAGGTCCAGTCCCAGTGGGGCTCCTGATCCTGCAGGCTCTGGCCATATCATCAGCCTCAGGGCTGGTCCAACCTCCTATTGCCCTTACAGGCGGACTCATGCTGTCCTGCCGAGGGATGGATGAGAGGGGCAGCAGGCAGCCAGGGAGGAGTGGGGGGGGCAGTATCTGTGGGCCCTAAGGTGACTCCGCATGTCCCCACAGCTCTGGCTCAGCTTCGCCCCAGTTGCAGACATCATTGCCCAGCACTTCCTTCTGTCCATGGCACAGGTTGGCTGGCTCTCGCTGATCTACCTGGTGGTGTCCATCCCATTTGGCATTTTGGCCATCTGGGTCCTAGACTCTGTGGGGCTCCGAGGGGCGGTGAGTCAGATCCCACACCATGGCCTGCCTGGGATTAGTCCTCTGCATTTAGAGGTTGGGTGCATGTGCTCCCCAGACCAGGGCCCAACAGCCCTGCTGGCTGGGACCCCAGGCAAAGCTGCCAGGGCGGAGGGATGGCTAGAAATTGGGATGTGCCTGTGAGCTAGGGTGGGCATTTGGGGACATGGGTTGGGGAGTCCGAGCTGGCCAGCAGCCTTCTGACTGTCCTGCAGACCATCCTGGGTGCATGGCTGAACTTTGCTGGGAGTATGCTTCGCGCCCTTCCCTGTGTGGCTGCCTGGGTCCCCAACACATTTGCCTTCTTCATGGGTGGCCAGAGCCTCTGTGCCCTGGCCCAGAACTTGGTAATCTTCTCTCCAGCCAAGCTGGCCGCCTTGTGGTTCCCAGAGCATCAGCGAGCCACAGCCAACATGATTGCCACTATGTGTAAGTCCCAGGGCTGAGGCCTCTGCCTGCCTGGGTCCTCCACCCCTTGAGCTCATGAGCCAGGGCCCCAGGGCCAGGAAGCTTTCCCCCTGGGCTGGGGATGAGGCCAGCCATGGCTGAGCTGACCTGCTGCCTGGTTCATCTCTCCACCCAGCAAATCCCCTGGGCATCCTTGTGGCCAATGTGCTGTCACCTGCCCTGGTCAAGAAGGGAGAGGACATCCCTCTAATGGTGAGGAAGCTTGTTAGGCGCACATGTGTGGTGTGTTTCTGCTGTCTGCTTGTGCATGTGTAAGTGGTGTGTGTGCATGTATGGTGTGAGGGGTGTGCATGAGTTGTACGTGCATGTGTGTGGTGTGTGCACATGTGTGGTATATGAGTGTGTGCGTGCTGTGCATGCATGTGTGGTGTGAGGGGTGTGTGTGTGTGTGGTATGCACACACCTGTGCACTTGTACTCTGACATGCCTGAGTGTGTTTGCATGACCTTCTTCCTACGTGATTGTGCAGCTGGCCCTTAGGTGCTAGTCTTTTCTGGGTAGTCAGGCTGGCCTTGTCAAGGTGGGAGCCATCCTTGAGGAATATTTTGATAGTCAGGGCTCTGCACGAAACCTCCAGGAGCAGGTGAGGGTGGTGCAGAGCAGCCCGCCACAGGCCCTGGGTTTACTGGTAACTCTGGAGGTTGGAGGGTGGACAGAGATCACAAGGGGATAAGGACCTGGGCCCAGAGCAGGGCAGAGGCATGTGGGCACAATTACCTGTGTGGCTGTTTATGACACCCATGCCCTCTCCCAGCTTGGAGTCTACACCATCCCTGCAGGCCTGGCCTGCCTGCTGGCCACTGTCTGCCTCTGGGAGAGTGTACCCCCCACCCCACCCTCTGTGGGGGCCGCCAGCTCCACCTCAGAGAACTTCCTCCAGGGGCTCAAGCTGGTGAGTGTGGTGGGACTCTGGGGGTGGGAAGGCCCTGGTTGGAAGCACCTGGGCTTCTGGGCTAAGAGGCACCTCCCCTCCAGCTTCTGCAGAACAAGGCCTATGTCATCCTGGCTGTGTGCTTTGGGGGTGGCATCGGGATCTTCTCCAGCTTCTCAGCTCTCCTGGAGCAGATCCTCTGTGCCAATGGCTACTCCAACGTGAGTTCCTGCAGGGCAGGGACTCTGCCTCTGCTAGGGTTACCCACTGCCTCTGAGTGCTCAGTGTCCACGCTGGAAGAAGCATGGAGGGGCCAGCTGTGGGACTTGGGCATCCCTGGGCCTGACCCATACCTATTGCCCTCTGCCCCATTCCCTTTGGCTCAGAGCTGGGTGTGGCCTGGAGCATGTTTCCACTTCTGCCCTAGGTGCAGGGCACTGAGGGCCTGTGGGTATCTCTGGTGACTGGCCCTTTTCCTTAGTGGGGTGCTCAGTAGTGGATCCCACTCTGGCAGACAGCCAATAGTATTATCCTGCTTTGGCCTTGGGTACTGCCCTGGTCACAGGGTGTGTCCTAAGGAACTCTGGTGGCTTCCTGCCCCAGGATGTTGCCTGAACTTTCCCCTCCTCCAGGGGTTCTCGGGCCTCTGCGGGGCTCTCTTCATCGTGTTTGGGATCCTGGGGGCACTGGTTCTTGGCCTGTATGTGGATCGGACCAAGCGCTTCACTGAGGCCACCAAGATAGGTCTCTGCCTCGCCTCCATGGCCTGTGTGGCCTTTGCCCTGGTGAGAGTCCCCTGCTGAACCCCGCTGCAGGGGTGGAGGAGTGCCCGGGCAGGTGGCAGGCAAGAGGCCACTGGCCTCTCAGGCATGGCCTCTCCTGCTGGGGGGCCCGTGGTGGGTGAGGTGTCCCTGCCTGCAGCCAGGCAGCCTAGTTGGCACAACTGGCTGTGCTGACTGCCGTCTCCTCTGTTGTCTGGCTGCTCCCAGGTGTCCCGACTGCAGGGGCAAGCCCTTGCAGTGGCTGCCACCTGCTCGCTGTTTGGGTTCTTCGGCTTCTCTGTGGCACCTGTGGCCATGGAGCTGGCGGTGGAGTGTGCCTTTCCTGTGGGTGAGGGTGCAGCTGCAGGCCTGGTCTTTGTGCTGGGGTGAGTGTCCACCTGCCCTGGCTGCTTCCCTGGGCCCAGATGCTCTCCCAGGCTGCATGGCCCAGGCCCCTGTTTGGGAAGAGAGTGGCCTGTCTGCTCTGGTAAGGGTGGGCCATACACAGGCCTGGGCCAGCCTAGGCCACATGGATTAGGCTTCATGCTGCTCTTGGAACGTCAGCGGGCGGCGCAAATCGGTCCCTCCCAAGGTGGCATTGGCTTTGAAAGGTGGACAGTGCCGTGGTCCTGGCTGAGGGCTGTGCATGTCCAGGCAGGCCCAGGGTGTGCTCATCATGGTGTTACTGACGGTGTTGACTGTGCGGCCCGAAGTTCCATCCTCCTCCACCTGCCAGCATGGTGAGGACCCGCTGGATTGGACAGGTCAGTGTCCATACCCATGTCCCAGGGCCCTCAATGGGTAGAGGTAAAAAGGCCAGGCCTGGCCAGTTGGGGCAGCCCTGGAACCCCCATTCTGGGCTCTGGGTGCCCTTCACATGCCACCTACACCTGAGCACCTGAGCTCAGCGGGTGGGTGCAGCCCAAAGACCCTGAGAGAAGCCCAGTCTCAGTGCCCCCTGGTGAGCTGTTTTAGAGCCAGGAAAGAGAGAGAGAAGTGGAGAGACATGGGGGCAGAGAATGGGGAGGGGCTGAGAGGAGAGGGACAGGGACAGAGCATGGTCGGAGCTGGAGTGGGCAGTGATGACAGTGGGGGTCAGGCACCCTGGGCACAAGGCCTGTGACCCCTGGGACTGTCAGGACGGGGAGCAGGGCTGCTTCAGGGATGCATTGTGGCCATGGTGGGTCCAGATCCCCTGGGCTCTGCCATGGCCGAGGGCTCCTCTGGCTAATTGGGCCAGCTGAGAGAGAGCTGTGTGTGTCCCCAGTGTCTCTGCTGCTGATGGCCAGCTTGTGTACCCTCTTCACCTGTGTCTTGGTGCTCTTCTTCCACACCCCATACCGGCGCCTGCAGGCTGAGTCTGCAGGACCCCCCTTGCCCTGGACATGTGCCCCAGAGCTGAGGGCACCACCTGAGGCTCCTGGCTCAGCACCTCCAGCTCAGAGGCTGCAGGAACCTCCTGGCCCTGCCTCCTGCCTTCAGGAGCCCAAGGACTCGCTGAGACTGTGAGCAGGGATGTCTCATGAAGGGAGGTAGAGAGGCAATCTCTGGTCACCGGGACTGTGACCACAGGCTCAGGGTTCTTGGCACACCCAGGCCATGGCAGGATTTGGCACTCTGGACCCTGTGCAGACTGTATGGCTGAAGCAAGAAGAGCTGCTACTGTCTGGACACTGACCAGGGAAGACAGCCCAACACAGGGCAGTGTAGGTTGGTGAGGTGGCCTGGCACAACAGCAGGGGCTGAAGGGGAGCTGGGTATGAGGGACCTGGAGTGGACAGGTGTGGGCACTTGCTAGAAGGAGCCAATCCCTGAGCCTCTTCTTCTCTGCTCAGTACGGGGTGACCACACACTGAGGCTGGTGCTAAGACAGGTGGGCAGGGCTGCCAGCAGAGGGGCCCCAGGCCGATGCAGAGACTCTTGGGCAGACACTGGCAGGCAGAATGTGTGGGTCCACATTTATTGAACTGGACACAACCAGGGCTGAGTAGCCTCACTCCTCCTTCTCCTCCCCATGGGTGAGCACGTAGCTTAGCGCCTTGTAATCCAGGTTGCCTGCTGCGTCGATGGAAGCAAACTCCAGCATCTGGTCCACCTGAATGAAGGCGAGTTGGTGGGTGGGGGGTCAGTCCTGGTGGAATGGGTGGCGAGAGGTCCCCAGACCTCAGCCGCCTAGGTGCTCTGGATTACAGGTGCTGAACTCCAGAGGCTCCTAGTGTTGCTTCTCTGCCAGGAATGGGGAGGGATCTGGGAGGGGCAAGCAGGGTGGGCACGGGGCCAGAAGGAGAAGCAGGTTACCGAGCTGGTCAGTGGTGCTTAGGGTGGCCACCTGGGCAATGTGAAGAATGGGGTGGAGTTCTGAAGTACAGGTGGGGGCTACCCTGTCCCCTTGGGCTAGGACAGTAAGTCTGTCCCCTCAGCTAGGTCAGACCACCAACTGGCCAGTGGCTTCCAGCCCTGACCTAGCCCAGGGCCACCCCACTCTCCCAGGAGCCCCTGCACCAGGGACTGTTCTTAGTCCTGCCCACCATGCTCCTGCAGCCTGGGGGCTGCTGTCCCTCAGTGGCCCTCTGGGGCTGCAGGCCTACCTCAGTTGCAGTCATCTTGTCAGCCTGGGACATCAGCAGGCGCTTGATGCTGAGAGCCAGGAGGAGCAGGGGAGTGGTTAGGCCCCCTGAGGAAGGGCTGGCAGCTCACACCAGGGCACCTCCAGCGCGGCTCAGAGTGTTGTGGGCTCAGTCCTTACCCCGCCTTCCCAGCACCTGGTGATCACCCCAGCCCATCCTGACCCCCGTTGGTCATCCCCAGTCCTGAGGAGGTGTTTTATGGGTCACAGTCAAGTGCTTGGGAGGGACACCAGGCTATTCCCTCTCCCCAGCACCTGGATGAGGTGGCCCTCCTGTAACAGGGTCTAAAGACAGTGACAGCTGGAGGGACCTGGTGGCCTAGTCATGGAGACTGCCCCACTGGGTGGGACTGGACATCCTGGGTCATCCTGAAGGACTCCGCTCAGGCCACAGAAGGCCCCGAAGCTGGAGAGACCAGGAGATGGGCTTGGGTGTGGGTGCTGCAGCCCCTTCTGCCAGCTGAGACCCTCCCTGCAGCTGCACTCACTACTCCTTGTGGATGCTGCCTTTGCCGTCAGGATCGAGCATCTTGAAGGCATTCAGGATGGTCTCCTCAGTGTCTGTACCTGCAGCAAAGAGGCCACAGGGTCCCCTACTACCCCAGGGCTCTGAGTCCCTGCCCAGCAGCATCACTGCCAGGAAGCCTTCCCACTCCTGAGCCCCAGGGAGCCTGCCCTGTTGTTCCCACCTGGGGGAACCATTCTCAGAGGAGCCAGGGATCTAGGAGTGAGGGACAGAGACCACTGGACAGCTGGGTAGATGGGAGGTTTGGAACTCAAATGGCTCTGGGTGGCTGACAGGATCTCAGGGCATGGGGAAAATACAGGCTTCTATGTGCAATGGCTGGATTTCTAAGCACTGGGAATTAGCTAGGCACATACACACAGCTGGCTGATTGGCCTGAGGGCTGCCCAGGAGTGCTATCCCTGAGAGGGACCAAAGAGCTTACTAGTCAGCTTCTCCCCAAACAGGTTCAGGAACATGGTAAAGTTGATGGGCCCTGAAGCCTCCCGGAGCATGGCGTCCAGCTCATCATCCTTGACGTTGGTTTTGCCTGTTGCAAAACCAGAAGCAGGGTTTACCAGAGCAGGAACGTCACCCCCTGCCCCTCTGCCCTTGTTGACACTGGCTGCCCACTCCTGTTGTTCTCCAGGGTGACCCCAGAACAGTGCTGGGCTCTTGGGGAGAGTGCTCTCAGGCAGGTGTATGGGGTACAGGCTGGGGCAGGTGAATTCACCCCAAACCCTGAGCCTGGGACACAGCTGCTGAGGAGGAAAGCGGAGATCAGAGGTGGTGAGAGGGGAGGCTGGGTTTGGGGACAGGGGAGGTGTCTTTTCTATATTTAGGCATAAGGGGGGTTGAGAGGGGACTCTACCATAAGAAGAAACCTGCCCACCTTCCCCAGCTCCTGGGGCAGGACCGGAAGCCTCAGGCCTGGCCTGAGGAATTCCCCATGGGGAATTTTGGTGCAGAGGCTTTGTGCCCCTAGGTGGCCTTGGAGAGTGCTGGAAGAACTGGGTCCAGGGTGACAGCATAGGCAGGCCCCACACCCTCTCCTAGCTCCCTAAGGCTGGGCTGAGGCAGGGTGGGCTAAGCCTGCATAAGCTGTGGCTGTGGCAGCCCACTGGTGTTGTTCCCTCCTGGGATCCCCTGCTCCAAGCCCATCCCAAGTGGTCGTGTGTGGGCAGTGGGCCACTTGCTGGTCTGCCCTGGGCACCCTGTGCTGACCCTGAGCAAGCCAAGTGTGCAGGATGTCACCAGCCTGTAGGGCTAGTGCCCTTGCTCCACTCGAGGAAGAGTGACGATGTCCAGGTTGGATGTCACGTGCTCGCCTTCTAGTGGCACTTACCCAGGGAGGCATAGGTATCCTTCAGGTCCTCCTTGTCAATGAAGCCATCTCGGTTCTGATCCATGAGTGTGAATGCCTAGAACCCAGGCTGCTGGGAGCATTGCTGGTAGCCCAGCTCTGCCTCCATTCCTGTGCCTCTCCTGGCTCCTCACCCACACCAAGGCGAAAGGCAGCCACAGGCCTACATGGGATCTCCCCCACCCACTGGGTAAGGGGACTTGGGCAAAAGAGGACAGACCCACCTCCTTGAACTCCTGGATCTGGGTCTGTTCAAAGTTGGAGAAGACATTGGAGGATGCCCTCTGGGCACGCAGGGCCCCGCCCTCCTTCTTCTTGGTCTTCCTGCTGGCCTGAGGCAGGAGCACCAAGACTTAGGGTCCTGGCCAGCTGGGGGAACCCCAGGACACCCCACGATCCTGCTGAAGGTCCCTGGCCAGCTGGAACCCCAGGGCATCCCAAGATTCAGGAGGCTTAACACAGAGGAGAGGATCAGGCAACATGGTGGCCCCAAGCCCAGGTGTATGGGGGAGGACAGGGACTCCTTAGGCCCTGGCACAGCACAGGGCTCAGACTACCTCACTGGGCTTGGCCTGGGGGCTCCAGAGCAAATGGACTCCAGAGCAAATGGACTCCTGTCCTGGGCACCAGGTCTCCGGTGGCCCAGACTCTCCCACATGCTTCCCCGACTGTCACCAGGGTGGCTGTCCCTGGGTGGCCGAGGCACATACTTCTCACACCCACACTGAGGTGCATGTTCACATGCTCTCACACACTCACATGCACATCACACTCGTGTGCACACACAAGCTCTCACATCCCCTGCCCAGTTGTCTGCCTGCTCACCATGCCTGGGTCCTCCCTGCCCAGGGCTCCAGTCCTGCCTGTCTTAAGCTTCTGCCTGGTCCCCCAGGACACTTCAGACTTCAGCTGCCACTCCCTACAAGGACAGGCTCAGGGCCACCCCAGGGGACTGGACAACTGCAGAGTGAGCCTGGGCAACCTGCCGGTGACTCAGACACCCCTCTGCCCCCAGGCACCAGGAGGCTTTGTTCTGCCTAGGAGGCTGTGTCTCCAGGCCACCTGCCAAGCTTTTGGCCAGGGTCTTGGTGTTGAGAGTCCTCTTAGGCACTGTGGGCCCTGCTGGGGCTGCAGGAACTGTAAGTGTCAAAGGAAATTTGGCTTTTCCAGATCTGTACAGAGGTACTACAAGGAGCCCAAACATTGCTGAGCACTCATTTTTAGTATTTATTTATTTATTGATTGATTTGTACTGGTGATTGAACCCAGGGGTACTTTACCACTGAGCTATATCCCCAGCACTTTTTATTTAGAGACAGGGTCTGCTAAGTTCCTGAGGCTGGCCTTGAATTTATGATCTTCTACTTTAGCCTCCCAAGTTGCTGGGATGACAGGTGTGTACCACCGGGCTCAGCCTGCTGAGCACTTTGAGTATTAGAGCTCCCAAGCACCACCGTCCTCACCTCCCTGTCTCATTGGTATATACCAGACAGTGGGGCCTATGACCCTGGCCTGACCCTCTGACCTCATGGTGGCAGCTCCTTAGTTTCTATGGCAAGAGACTTGGAGATGGCCAGGGAACCCAGATGACCTGGTCTGGGTCACTCTTGGCTGCCAGGTCTCCCTCCTACTGCTTGACCCGAGTTCTGGGAAGGTACACAGCCTCAGTCACACAGCTCCCTTCCGGTGCTGCTACCTAAGACCCCCAGAGCCAAAGGGGTCTTCAGGTAGGACCCTGTGGAGGCATCACCTTCTGGGAGGACCTGGGGGAGACTGCTAGAGGGAGCGTATAAGACCAGGTATAGGGGCTAAGGATCCAGAGCCAGGGGCCCATTTCCTGGGGCAAGGCTGGGTGTGGCCCTGCTAGGAGTCTTGACTTGGCTGCAGGAGGAGGAGCTCCAAATGTGAGAAGGCTGCAGATCTCCAGGGAGCATCCTGGCCCAGTTGGGCTCTAGGACTGAGCCCTCCAGGACTGAGCTCAGCTCTAAAGATAGTGACACAGACAGGGGTATCAAGATTCTGCACACATCTGACCCTGACAGGTGCAGAGGCTTCCACTGGTATTTCAAGACAAGAGAGACCCTCCTTCCCTCCCTTAGCCCCTCAAAGAGCCCTCCCTGATCCAAGCCAGGTCTCCAGCAGTGCCCATGGGTGGTCTTGCATGCACCAATGGGCATGTATGTGTTGTGCACTGACCCCCAAAGCTGCTGGTATGTCCTGTCCCCTGTCGTCGCCTGGGCCCTAGAGACACTTATTTTCAATTTTGGAAGCTTCAGCTGCTGAGGAGTGCAGTTTATTTTAAAATCTGGTAAAGAGAAAGCCCACTCGGTCACTTGAGGTCATTTGGCCAGTGGCTCAAGGGCAGGAAGGGGTGGGGGGCTCTGCAGGCTGATGTCTGTGTGAGTGGAGAGCTCTGTTTTGTGCACTTGTGGATTCCCCAAAAGCCAGAGGGCTGAGGAGGGCCAGGGTCTACATCCACCCCGCAAGACTGGGCTCTAGCAGGAGTCCTCAGGGGCTCCAGGCTGGCCTCATCCAGGGCAAGAGAAGAGCAGTTGGCCCTGCAGGATTGGCCAAGGTGTTCCCATCTCCAGCCCTGACTTCCCAGCTGGGGAGGCTGAGGGCTGGGACTCCAGAGCAAGCTGAAGAACGGGACAAGCTCAGCCAGGGCTCTTAGAGGGCCAAGGCAGTTGGGCTCTAGGTCCCCCTCCAGGACTGCTGAGCACCCATGAGCCTTGAAATTTTCGTTGCATTTATTCACTTTAGATTCAGTTATGTTGTCTTTAGAAACAGGAATTCGAGGAAAAGTAAGGAAGGGTGGACTTCCGCAATTCCCAGGGAGGGTGGGTATGGACTTGGATGGGACCCAACCCTTGGCCCTCAAGACTACCTGCCCAGTAAGGCAGGGTGGAGGAAGCACAGGTAGCTTCCAGGAGGCATGAGGTAACTGCTGGGGTGAGGACAGCTGATGGGGTGGTAGACCACCAGGCTACGGATGGCCCCATTTTGGGCAACCCCAGCCAGGACTGGCTCAGGTGTGGGGAACAAGTAGCCATTCTGAGGTACAGAAGCAAGCAGAGAGACTGGAGAGGTGGCCTCAGGAGAGGTGCACCTAGGAGCTCACAGCTGCGAGTTCTGAAGGCTGGGTTGGGGACCTGGGGGGGGGCTTGCTCTGGGTAGCCTTCTCATGAAAGTCCCAGTCCCTCCTGTTATGGGAGTAAGGAGGGCAGGAGAGCTCAGGGTGAACAGCCTGGAGATCACTGACGAGCTGCAGCCATCGCCGCCCCGGATCCCGCACGCCCGCGCTCTAGTCCTCCGACCCCTCGGGCACGCGCTCTATACTGCTGGTTCGTGCCTGACCGCGCTTTTCAGGGCGCGCACGCGCACGCGGAGCGTGGGCTTCGGTTAGTTCTCCTCCAGGTCCAAACCCGGGCAGGCGGGGCGCGGACGCTCGGCCCGTACCCCCAGGGCCGGGTCGCTTGGTTCTCTCGCTCCCAGGGAAGGGACACAGTACGTGTGCCGTACCCTTCCCTCCTGGTCGCGCGCAACCTTTCCTTGTGCACGAGCGCGTCCCGTAACGTCACCCGCCGGGGAGGGCGCTCCGCTTCTTCCTACCGGCAGGGGGCGCCGCTCACGCTCCGGCGCAAGCGCCTGGCTGGCGCCCCACGGTCTTCCGGGCCCTCGCGGCATTCACCTCCGTCTCGGCAGCGCTTCCGGTGCGAAGGTCAGGGACAAGATGGTGCCGCCGGTCCAGGTCTCTCCGCTCATCAAGGTGAACCCGGCTTCGTGGCAGCAGCACGGTTATATAGTCTGGGACCCCGATCCCTGCCCACTACCCTCATCCCCCAGACCCTGCAGGCCGCGCCCTGCCTTTCCGCGTCCTCGCCTTCCTTCGTGCCCGACCCTGCAGGCTACGCCTCCGACCCCCACACCCTGCAGGCTGCGCCTCCGACCCCTACACCCTGCAGGGTGCGACCCCCCGCGTCCCCCGCCCGTGGCCTGCGGGCTGCGACCCCCGCCGCGCCTGACGCCCAGTCACCTTGTTGTCCTGTCCCGCAGCTCGGCCGCTACTCCGCCCTGGTCCTCGGTGTGGCCTACGGAGCCAAGCGTTACAGTGAGTGCCGGGGCGGGCGGGCTGGGCGGCTCGGGCGCAGGGCGAGGGGTCGTAGCTACCCAGCCTCTTCACGCAGCGTTTTCAGGGAGGAGGTTAATCGAAGCCCCCACCCCTCCAGGTTACCTAAAACCCCGGGCAGAAGAGGAGAGGAGGGTAGCCGCGGAGGAGAAGAAGAGGCAGGATGAGCTGAAGCGGATCGAGAGAGAACGGGCCGAAGGTAGGAGCGAGCCTTAAGCTGCCCATCCCGTTTTTTAGTGGAGGGAGGGGTGCCGCC